TTTTTTTTTTTTTTTTTTGGACACAGAGTCTCACAATGTTGCCCTACTTGGTAGAGTGCCATGGTATCACAGCAACCTCAAACTCTTGGGCTTAAGTGATTCTTTTGCCTAAGCCTCCCAAGCAGCTGGGACTATAGGTGCCCACCACAATGCCCGGCTATTTTTTGTTGCAGTTGTCATTGTTGTTTAGCTGGCCTGAGTGGGGTTCGAACCCGCTACCCTTGGTGTATGTGGCTGGCGCCACAACCACTGTGCTATGGGGCACTGAGCCAATATTGGCTTCTTCTCTGGGGGGAGCACAGCTATGTGGACTCCAGCCAGTTCCCTCAGCTGGGCTTATTACACCTGAGGACCATAGGGGATCCCAGAGGTCTGCAGGTGTCCAAGCTGTTGATGGTGGTTGCTGGGATCATCTCGCTTACCTTCTTGCCATGGACAGTAGTTATTGCTTGTTCCCAGCTGGTCCTGATTATAGGATGGGGCAGTGGAGGCCCATGTGTTCTTTTGTTCTTTTAAGTGGCCATCCTCAGTTTCTGTGCTCACCAGGGCACTCCAGCTCTCTCCTTCAGTTATTTGGTTAAAATGTAGTTGTTTATTCATTGTTGGGGCTATCTTTGTGAGGGGAACAAGCACTAGGGGCTTCTAGAGGACCACCTTGCTGAAGTCATTTTTCTAAATAGCCTGTTTTAATAAGAATATTTAAAGTTATTTCAGTGTGCTTCCATTCTGGATATCAGGATAAATATGATAGAGTATCGGTTCTGTAAGAAACCATTCAGCTGTGTGCCTTACCTGCCACCTTCCTGTAACAGATTCATACTTGTCCTGTGCTGGGGGGCAAGGACTCTTTGTACAGTTGAGTTATTGAGAGTAGTTTACCTGAATTTCTTGGCTTAGAAAAGGCTTTTGTTTTGCAGTTTTTGGCCAGAGCCGGGTTTGAACCCACCACTTCTGGTATATAGGGCCAGCACCCTACTCCTTTGAGCCAAAGGAGGCACTTCCCAAAAAGGTTGTTTTAACAAGAAATAAATGATACTAAGTCAGTGTGGTCCATTGAATAAAGTATTAGGCTATGAACCAGGAGACCAGCATTTAATCACACTTGCCTAATAACCTTTGATCAATTGCTTCTTTGGTTATTCTGTTCCATGTGTTGGGAAATGGCATGATACATATATTACCTACCTCTTACCTAGCGGACAGTCAGTCTTTTTTTTTTTTTTTTTCTGGAGACAAAGTCTCTGACACCACCAGACCAGAGTGTCTTAGTTCACAGCAACCTCAAACTCTTGAGTTCAAGTGATTCTCTTGCCTTAGCCTCCCAGGTCACTGGGACTATAGGTGCCCACCACAATGCCTGGCTATTTTTTATTTTTTATTTTTTTTATTATTATTATTTTTTGGTATCTAAAATCTATTTTTTTTTTTTTTTTTTTTTTTGAGACAGAG